ATCATTTTGAAGTCTCTTTATAGACTTATCAATGGCCCTTATCACAGATAAATTTAAGCATACAATTAGTTGGTTCTCAGATCAGCTTAGAAAAATTGGGAATATGCAGGAAAACCTGAGTTATCATTGCATTAATGTTCAAATCTTCAAGTGCACTAGGGTTTTATTAACTTCTATGGAAAACAGTAGGAATTAGTTGCTGCTAGCACACCCAAATTCATATATTCACAACGCTAGCACAGCTGCACCCAGTCACTGATAGAATCAGCCACCTAAACCCTTTCCCACCCGCTCTAGCTGTGTTAAAAACAATTCTGTATTTGTCACTTTATTTGTTGCTGCTAAATGAGCTTGTCAGTCTGAAAAATGACTGACTATGCATGGAAAATGAAACTCCATTTCATCTCTAGCCATGTTTTCAGAGAAGTGTGTTGACTTTTTACCAATTATCACTGGCCAGTTGTGTATTTTCTCTGTCATCCCTGTGGTTAAACAGTGGGCTCTCAGCTTTGACAGCAGAAAACTAAAATTATTCTAAAATATAACAGTGAGACTTTGTAATTTCTTACCAGTCTTACCAAGGCCTGCCTGCCAGACCTGCCCAGCAGTGGAAGAATTCTTTACACACAAGAGAGTTCTTGAAGTTTTCTGTGACAGTAACTTTGGTAAGTCCTTGCTAATACAGCTGCTGTAAAGAGACTAACAAACTTTCTTCCAAATGCTTTAAAAGTAGGATTACAATAAGTAACAGTTTCTGCTGAGATTTCAAAGAATTAAGAGTTTGGCTGCAGATTTAATTTTAGGTTAGAATCTGCTCTTTCTAATCAAAAATAAGGAGGATTTATTTTGCATGAAAGATTTATTATTGATCTAGTTTGCAACCAAATAGCTCTTCTATTCTGGTTTGGTTGGCTGCATTGTAGTACAACATGCTTTTTAGAAAGTAGTTCTGTCAAAAGCAGGCAAATAAGTAAGTTTGCCTTTTATTACTGGTTAAATTCAAAGTAAATCTTTGGTGTTTAACTGTGAACACTGTATCCTCGTGACTTGTGTGCATGAGTTTTTTGTGATACACAGCTTACTGAAAAGAAGACTCAGAAAATCAGTAAAAGAAATTCTTACTTCATGTTGTTCTTATTGGAGTGACAAGTGAGTGGAGTTTGCCCTAGAGACTTCCTGCAAAACTCTTTATGTCAGTGTAGAGACCCTCAGTGACTTTGGCTGGCATTAGATCAAGCAGTGTAGAGAAATTTCATACTAAAAAGTGTTGGTGGAGTCAGATGAGGTAGGTAGATGCCTATAATGAAAAAGGAAAATCTAAAAGGGTGGCATTA